TATATTAATAATAAGTTATAATTTTATTAAAGGTTTTATTTATTATTTTTTAATAGGTTAAAAAAGTATATTATAAATAATTTTTTTTATTATAAATATAATAAATATATTTTAATATAATTATAGGTTTTTAATTAATATAATTTAAAGGTTATTTATAAATTTAAATTAAAATTATTAAGTTTTATATATTAAGGTTTTTTTTATACTTATATAATGATATTAATTTAAGCTTTTTTTAGTGTAAAAAATATGTGTGATTTTTCTTTAATATTTTATTTTTTTTTAATAAAGGTAATTTTTTTAAAAGTAATAAGTAATTTTTTATTATTAATATTTTTTTTAATAAAGTAAATAAAGATTTAATAATTATTTTAATTATAATATTAATATGCTTTTTTATTTTTTTTATATTAATCGATGTTAATTTAATTAATTCTTTAAAAAGCTTTTTTATTAAAAATTTAGATTTTATTTTTAGAATTTATTTTTAATTTATTATTTTATTTTAATTAATTTTAAGGAGTTTTTAAGGATTAATTTTAGCTTAAATTAAAACGGTTTTTTTTACTTTTATATTAGCTTAATTTTAAATGTTTTTTTATCGAATTAAGCTTGTTTTTTCTTAATTACGATATTTTTAAATTAGTTAATATATTTTTATAAATATAATTAATGTTTTTAATTACTTATATAAAGTTAATATTATTTTTTAATACGTTATTTTTTTTTAAATAAATTAATTTAATAATATCGTTAAATAATATTTAAATTATATAGGTTTAAAAAGTAATTTTTAACCACTTTATAATTTAATTAAAATTATATAATTTTATTAAATAATTAAAAATATTTCTTTTATATTTAAATGTTAAGATTTTTTTAATATTATAATGTTTTTTAAAAAAATTTATAAAGTATTTTTTAAAAGCTTTTATGTAATTTAATTATTAATTGTTTTTATACTTTTATTTATTATCTTTAATTTTTTTTTAATATTAAATTTAGGTTTTTTTAATTAAAAGTAAGCTTATTTAATTAATTTTATAATAATTTTCTAAGAAATTTTTAAAGTAAATTTTTAAATAAAAAATTATTTTTATTCATTAAAATTTAAACTTAAATAAATTTTTATCGTTATAAGTAAAAAGCTTATTAAAATAAATAAAATTAATAATAATAGGTATAAATTAAATTAATTATTTTAATATTAATAGTAATTTATCTTTAATGTTATTTTTTAGCGGCTTTTAATTTTTTTTTAAAGCGTTATATTTAAACGAGGGTAATTTTTATAGCGAAATTCTTTTTAAAAATTTAAGTAAATTATTATTATTATTATTTAAATTATTAAGGTTAAGGTTTAAAATCTTTAATTTTTTTTTAAATAAAAGTAATGTTTTTTTTCTTTTATTTATTTTTAATATAAATAAGATATTCTTAATAAATTTAAATTATATTTTTATATTTTTATTAATTTATTTAATATATTTAATTTTTAGGTTTTTATTTAATTAAAATTATATTTAAAGGTGTTTTATAAAGATAAATAAAATGAATGAAAATAATTATAAAATATAAAATAAGTGATAATTATAAATATAAAAAAATTATAATTAAAATTAAGTGTTTATTTTTTTTTTTAAGGTTTTAATTATTAAATTAATATTAATAAATTTATTAACTGTTATTTTACATTAAAATTTAATGAGAATAATTTAAGTATAAGTTTTAAAGTTTTTTAAGCTTTATTATACTTAGGTATTTAAGTGTTTAAAATTAATTTACCTAATAAAAAATACTTATATCTGATTTTTTTAACCTTAAATTTATTTTTTTTTAATTATTACTTATTATTTAATGTTTTTAATTAAATTAATTTAATTTTAAAGTTTTTAGCATAAGTTTTAAAGGTTTTTTTAATAATATTAAGTAATTTTTTTAAATTATTTAATAGCTTTTTAACGTATTTATAAATTATTATTAAAAATAATTATAAATCTTTAAACTTATTAAATAAAAATATTATTTTATTTTTTAATTTATTTAATAAATTAAGCTATTTATATCTCGGTAGCTTAAAGTTTATATTAATACATTAATATAATAATATTATATAATTCATAAATATTATTATAAAATTATTAAAATTAATTTTAATTTTATAATTTTAATATTTTAATAAAAACATTTAACGATTTAATTATTAAAAAGTTATTTTTTATTTCTTAATATAATTATAATAATTATTTAAAAAAATTAAATATAATAATATTAAATTAAATTATATCCTTATTTTTACTTATAATTATATTAAATTTTTAAAAGTTATATAAAATTAGATTTTATATTTTAATAAAAGCTTAAAAGGTTTTAAAATTAAGCTTTTTTAACTACGTATTAAAATATATAATAATTATATTATAAGTTAATTATATAAAAAATCTAATTTTAATTTATAAATAATAATAAGTTTTAAATGTTTAAAGGTTAATTTTATTAATAAAAAAAAATACTTTATTTAAAAATAATAATTATAATATAAGATTAATAGGTTTTAATAATTTTATTAATAAATGTATTAATAAATATATTAATAATAAAATAAGTTTAAATTTTTCGTATATTTTAAAAAGTAAATAAAAGTTATTATTAATAATTAAAATTTATAATTCTTTTTTTTTTAATAAACGTTAAAATAAATATTTATTTAAAAATAATAAATAAGGTAAAAATAATAACTTATATTAAATTACTTAAAATAATAAAATAAAAATTATAAAAGTAAATTCGTAAGTTTTTTTTTATTATTATAATAAAAAAAAGATAATTAATTATAAAAGATTTATAAATAATTTATATAAAATAATAAAATAATTAAATAAATAATTTTTTTAAAAGCTTAGCTTAATATTTCATTAGTTATTTTTTAAAATAATTTTTTTAAAAGTAATAAAAATTATTTATAATAAAAGATTTAAGCTTAAAATATATATTTAAATTTATTTAATAATTCTTATAAGTTTTAAGGTCTTTAATTTTTTTTTAAATTAAGTGGGAATTTTTAAACCTATTTATATCTAAATCTAATAATATAATATATATTAAGCTTCTTAAATAATCTTGTATTAGTGTAGCTTACATATTAGGCGCTATCCTCCTAACTTATATGTACCAGTAATATTCTATCACCTTATCTTAACCGCCAGCTGTAGCCGCATAGGTTAGTTAATAACCTTTTGGCACCAATCCCTGTATGACAACCACCAATGTCACCTATGTATGTACGCAGGTACGTTACCATCAACTTCGCTACATACATGTACATACCTACCAACCTATGTACCTCTTATGTATATACCACTGATAGCTCCTATATCCATTTCATCACCACCATCCACTCGCCACAATGATTAATTGTAGATGCACTACCTTAGGCAAATAGATGTATGAGCTTCGATTTTGCATTTTAAGATTCAGATACCACATATAAAGGTTGCTGTACAGCTTTTGTTTGACAAACCGAGCCCTAGAATTGAAATAGTTATCACCAACATGATGGCGTCAGTGCTGATAATGTTATATAAAAAGGGCAATGAATATTCTGCGTGCACCTAATCAAATTCAATCCCCATCATGACCAGCTTGAGGCGTAAATATATCATGAAATTTGGAGCTAGCACTCGAACAAATAACACACTTTAAGGACATAAGTAGCCTCTACTATCCTTATAAAAAACTGCATCCTAGCTTAAGATTAATTCAAAAAGACTTATTTCTAAAGTGTTATTCTAAAATGATTGAAATTATATATCACATACCTACCTACCTACCTACATACATAGGTACTTCGTTGTCTGAATTACTTTGAGTACCTAGGTACCTACCTAAGCAAAACGCTTCTTAGAATTTACATATTATTAGACCATGAATCTAATATTATATAGATTCTTGGGAAATTAAACTATTAAGAAATATGAAATACCTCAATGCGTGATATTTATCTAGGCAGATAGGTAGCTCTAAAAGGGAGAGAGCAGGAAAAAAAAATGTACAACACTTAGTATTCGCCAGTCATCACTAATGAAGAAGTAACTGGGTTGTCCAAGGGAAGAGCGTACGGGACCCCGACCTCTCCAGATCTTATGGTTATACGTAATATTATGTGGTGTTGAAGCAGTATCAGCTACTGCATTTTCGTCACAGCTCTCTGAGAAGGAGATTGTATCCTAGTTTACAATAATTTGGTCGATATAGAGGTGAAAACAACTACAAATATTCTACTAGATAAAACTGTTATTGCGACATTTTAATGGTTTGTGGATATCAGGTTCTGGGAAGTAGTAGATAGACCAGTTCAACGTATGCGCAAATAACACACCAAAGAACAGCATATCGTGACAAAGATACAATAAGTAGTTGTAATAACCAATAAAGGTATGCCAAAATTTCATGCCATAGTGCCATAGATGCTTTGTACAAATAACAGGATACCCGAGAAAATAAAATAGCTTCATGCCCAAGATACCCTTTCTTTGCCGTTAAATATCGGGTCGGAAGCTGTAGCATTGATTGTTTTGATAGCATAGCTATAAGCGAACCCGAGGTATAGTATATGTGCTTCAGCGTGAATATGTAGGTGATTTAGTTCCTCTTTAACCTTAATCTCTCGGTTACGGTAGTCATGTCTCACACATCCGTAAACATGGGAGCATCGGTCTTCTTAAGCTCTCTGATACCCTGACGGAGCCTATTCGCTTCCAACGATATTGCGAAACTCCCCGAGGTAGCTACGTGAACGCATCCCTAGCGAAGGACTTCGATTCACCATAACTAAAGTCAGTGTATAACGGCCATATCATAGTCCTGTGGTATTAATGAGCAATATTCGTCTTGTCTGGAATCAGAAACTGACACAGGTCCCACCACGACCCCTTTTGAAAAGCGCCTCTGCTACATGCCGCCCGGATGGCGAAGTACACCTGGAGGTCCGGCCCACGGGTGGCATAGTATAGTGGTCAGTACAGCTCGTTGTGGATATATGTAATTCCGAGCAGACCTAGGTTCGATTCCCAGTGCCGCCAGCTTCTCGGGCAGTGAGTGCTATCACTAATTTGCCCGAGTACTACTGAAGGTATTAGGTTACGTCTGCATTTACAGCTAGAGGATAACTGTTACAATGGACAATCTTTCATATCATGAAGTACTCTCAGATAGAGTGCTAGAAGGCAACAACCCCCCTGTAAATACCTGACTCTATACTGACCGATAGTTATTCATCAATGGTACAAACTGACTCCCACGATCTCTTACTGAAATGGGAACTCGTAGCACCATGACCAAGTACTCTTAGGTTATTATAATGAGGATGTTGCCTCCTAGCACTCTATCTGATAGCTCTACTCCCTTATTGGTAACTGTTGTTAGATAGTTACGTGTACATCACTAGATGTACCCGTCGTCACCCGTGGAGGGCAATGTTCTTAAACTCTTGGGAACAAAGGAAAGGCTAAGGAGACAAAGAAACCTACCTGTATGAATAGCTGGATCCTAACATTAGAGTAGCTTAGAGGCTCCCTGCGGAATAATGTTCGGTTTACCCCTACCCATAGTATAAAGCATTGGATATGTACATTATGACGATTGTTCTGGATACTTCCACCTACTATATCTGCTTGCATTGTATATTACTACCTCTTACGATACCTAGATCTCGAATTATGAGCAAAAATGGCATAACCCCTTAAAAAGCATCGCTGAGATCACAACCTCCTTAGCAAAGCAAGTACAATCTACACAGAATGAATAGAGAAATAATCGACGTTGAAATTTACTGAGACTGGACCAGGTTAGAGGGAAACTAGAAAAGTCCCCCCTATGCTATCCCGTTTTCCTCTTAGGCTGTACTACCCGTAACCCCTTATTGCCCCTTAACAATCTTGACCTTCGTCCGCGCCAGCGCCTATCAGACGCAAGTACGCCAATATCCACAGATATCGATTCTTCATTATTTCCCTCACTTAGTGGCCTCTCTCAACGACCTGATTAGTTCTTCGTAAGGTGGCTTGTCTGGTCGAGCCCATAACTGCCATCATCGACGAGCCCCTATCTCCAGATTTAGCAATCTACCTATATTCCCGTCTACAATCAAGAGTTCTTTACGAGCCTCGAATTATGTCAGCCCCAATAGGCTAATTAAACAGAGTAGCATCAATGGCCTCTTAATCTATCAGCATATCCCCCTTTTAAGGCTTACTTACATGTTAGCGCCAGCTCGAAATAGCCACCCCCAATCCCAGTTACAAAGCCCGATATCTGTTTTTTTTTTCGCACACAACTCCGCTTTCTATAGACTGTACGAGCCCCCTTTGCTTGTCCTTAGTGCGGGTGGCAGCGCTTGTACTAGCCTCCAGTCAGCTACGAAATTAGCTAGATGGATAGATTAATGCCATGTCACCATATGACTCTCCCGCAAGGCACACAATCACGAAGTCATCTCCGGTCCCGAGCGGACGACAACATATACCACTAACACGCTATGTATAGGGAATTAAGTAATCACTACGGCAAGCCGATGGCGTCTCACAAGACGTGAGTAACCACCGTCGCAAGGGAACTGCCGCGCGAGCTGAAGCGCTAGTTTCTGAGCCTTTCGTCTTACGTTACCTAAGACCAGACAAGACACGCAACGCAACGCAACATCCGTATAGTTAATTATTAGGGCTGACTGAGCAGTAAAACTCCGTGGCGAAACGGTGCTTAGAATTTTTTTTTTCCGAATCTTCTTCTCCTTTCCTTCCTTCCTTCCTTCCTTGTTACTACCTACCAGGAAGCTTGAGTACCGTAATCATGATATAGGTACCGCCGCCTAGCTCTACGAAATGCGACGCTAGGTGCGGCGGGAAGCACGGATACACCCTGGTGGCTGGCTACCATTACTAGAGACATTTAGATTGGAGATGCCGCAATTAGAAGACGGCTCGCTAGCGTGGAGCAGTAGGTAGGTAATTTAGGTACCTAGGTGGGCTGATTATCTTTGCTGCTGCTGCTAAATGTAGTAGCAACTTAAGTCGTTCTCGACGAACTGAAACTCTTCGTGATGATGGCTCATCGTATCGGCGTCCCAGCAATCGCAACAGAAAGCCGACCTGCGGCTCCGAAAGGGACATCGGTCCTTCCAGGCTCGCGAGATACCTGGCGAGCACGCCATGTCAGGATTCCACTGCCGAGCCGTGGCACAAGAAATGTAAGCGCGGGAAAAAGTGAAACACCAGGTATTCTACCTACTAATTAATTATTGCTTCTCCTCGTATGGAGTGTGTAGATATCATCATATGTATGTAGGTAGGTACATTACTTACTGAGATAAGGAACTGCCTAACTAACTAACTAACCTCACTCTACGCGAGGGCGTTCTCGTAGGGCGTCGAGAACGCCGGAAACCCTGCCACCCAACAGCAAGTCAAGAGAATAAAATTGGTCTCCGCTTTACCCGAACGGCCGAGTAATTTAGCTTCTGGGCCAACATCGGACTACCTACTCGCTCACCTTGCTATCTTCGGCGTTAGATTAGGTAGTAATAGGTGTAGGCAATAGTTCTCTGCTTCTCGTCTCGTCTAATAAGTGCTACCTAAACCAGCAAGGTCTTTCTGTCGCAAGATAGCACCGTAGAGATGAACAGATATTATGTATGTATGTAGAAAACGACGGCGATAAGGGAAGAGCTGGGGTTAGCTCGAGGTGATCAAACAGACGCGCGACAGGCACGAGTGATTGGACAGACGGATGGATGAGCGTACCCGGGGTTTTCTCTTCCCTGACAATCACACAATGTAGTTCACGACTCCGACTCACGCTACCCAGACAGGCCATCAAGGTAGGTATTATGCATGACGGAGAATTCCAAAAAGACCAACAAGGCCGACTTTCTAGACGCAAGTAAGTATAGCAAAGTATCTCTAGGTTAGGTAGGTAGCGACGACGATGATGATGTTGTTTCGATTCAGGTCGTGCCGATTCCTGCCGTGTGCGGAAGAAGGAAGGGATTCCAAATATAGAAACAGAGCTGTACTACCTGTGGGACGCCATTTTGGTGGCAACGTTGAGGCAGTGCCACCCCTGGGCCCTACCTGGGTCGGAACGCCAAAATACTCCCACATAATAGGTAGTCGTCACTTTTCACGGCAACATGCAGCGAGGACAGAATGCTTCGAAACAAGTTGTTATCCCGTTTGGAAGGTTCTTGTTGTTCTTCTGCTCACCTGGGACACTTACATACATACCTCCTGCCTACGCGAGATGCAATACCTACAGCCAGCTGAATGAACCCTTACCCCGGTTGACAGGCTATCATGTACTCCATGTGTACCTTGTGTATGTATGTATGTGCAGTAAGCGTTAGCGGAGGCTCGGGGAAGCATGTTCGACGACAAGGTCTTATTCTACCTATCCATGTCGAATGCAGGCGGAAGCACGGATTTCTATAACAGGCAAGTTTGAGGTATGTGCCTACCTACCTACCTAGCTACCTAGACGAACGCCACCCGAGCTCACGATGTTCGGCGATCAAGCACGTACCACATACTATCCCCGCCACGAAGCGAGGGTGAGGGTATCTTCATGCACTGCTTACGGCGTGTCTGTTAGATTGAGGAACTACCCCAGCGAAAATCTCGACCTGTCATCCGCGTTTCAGGTTTCAAGTGCGAGATCTTCTGATGACGGAAAGGCAGGGTTGCCATTTTTAAAGTTCTGATCGGTGGTCGAGGGGGGACGCCATGCCACGAGGTCGGGGTGGCATGCTGGCTGGTTGGATCAGCTGGAGGAATACAATACCTACACCTACTACGTTAGTTGTATGCCTCTCGACGAGACCGAGACCGATGCGAGAGAGAGAGAGAGAGAGAGAGAGAGGCTTTTCCGTGAAACATCGACGCTCATTGGTCCCCTCGAGAGAGGGCGTAATGTTTTATGTCTGCTTGTGGGATCATTATGCGTGCTTTGCGAGATTTGTACATTTCGCTCATGATCTGATCTCTTTTATTTATAGACACACCTTGCGATGCTACGTCGACGGTTGCTCTGCTGCCACCAGATAGCAAAGTATGTACGTACCTGGGGGTTCTTGCGTCTTGAGAACCATGGACGTTTGATTTGAGGCTCGTATCAGCTTGTCTTGGAAAAACTTCATGATATCGCTGGACGGTTTGCGATTGCAGAGTGTCATTCTTTCCTCAAATAGGTCAAAGGTCAAAACCTTGTCGTGCTATCCGGTATGATCGGAGATGCATAGACTAAGGCTGAGAACGTGGTAACGCAAACAGGTTCTGCGCGAGCGAACCATCACAGAGTAAGTAGGTACCTGCTCCAAAACCCCTACACGTACAGAGCACTTGTGAGCCCTAATGATGCAGGACCTAAGGGCGGCACAGCATCCGGAGCTATGATGTGATTGCTGACAATGGCTGACTGGTTGAGGGCATCGGCGTGGCTAGAAGATGAACGCTGTTCTGAATGGTAGATAGCTAGCGTTCTATCGATGGAGATACTATGCTAACCCAGGATAGGGTTAGATAGCCCGAGGTCGGGCTTTCTTTTGAATAATTGGTTGCACTTACACCACACCTTCAGGGTCATCTGACAGCCAATACAGGAGTCGTCGGTAGTTGATGAGAGACTTGGAGCGTATCGTAACAGATGATCCAGTCGCTAGATTTACGGTATCCAAGTACTCGCGCTGTACCAGGAGTGTCCTCGCCATCCCACCTTACCCCTATCTTAGCTTGCTTATCATCTTCTAGAGCTGACGTCCAGTAAGTAGATGTAATAAAGACTCGACATGGTCATTTAGTTGAGTGCCATTACCAAATGCTTCGATGTGGTCAGTCGCTGTATACTTCGCGCAAAGTACCTACACGCCTTTCCTCTGCGTTGACCGTAGCTAGCCGTGGAAAAGGGGCCGCGCAAGCGTAGGTTGATATGACCAGAATCTGCCGAGGGGACGAACCAAGGTGCGGGTGGCGTTTACTAAAGAAGTAGCTACCTACAAGTTTGGCGCCGTCATAAGCCCTCCTGGTGCTACCAC